CACAGAAACAACCCTGCCACCTGCAGAAACAACTCAACTGCCTGCAGAAACAACTCAAACAACTGTAGCAACAACCCAGCCATCTGTGGTCACAACTCAAACACCTGCAGCAGTGACAACACAAGCACTTGCAGAAACCACTAAATTAGCAGAAACAACATTGCAACCAACTCCTGCAGCAGCAACACCTCAGCCACCTGCAGACTTAACGACAGAGACACAGAGGCTAACAACAGGTGTGCCTGTTGTGGCGACCTTCATGCCATCAAAGCCGCAGTTTAAACCTTTATCAACTTTGACTGAGGAGGAAAAAAAAGGAACATTTACTGTGGAGTCAAGAGGCATCATGGTAAGTTTTGATGGTTTCCAAGAATGAAACTTCAGCCATCTTGGCCTCATTTTAAATGTAAATTTTTGATGTTTATTGGGAGTATACAGGACAACTGTACTAACCTGACATGTACATTGCACACTTCAGTGCACCGAGGCCTACACAAAGCTATCTTGGATTTTCCTCAGAAGCAAAGGCTGTCCTCATTTTGTGTTTGCATTTGACAGTTAGGCAGAGTGAAAATGTTTAGGATATTTGGTATAAAATTTCAGATGTGACAAAAAACTCTCGTTTAAAAAGGCAATTGTTTGTGGTAAAAGTACCCATAGGTCATCATACATGAGAACGCTAGGGAATGTCTACGTCCAGCGTAAACGTTCATTTTTTGTTCCAGCCCACTAGTTTCTTCTCTCTTTATCTATTTTGTTTCTGTTTTGTCTCCGCAGAGAGATAACTGGCTCGCCCAAAAAGATGTGATCTTCCGCAACACTGTTGCCCCGATGTTGCGGAACAAAAGTCGGAAACGGCAAGCCCCCTCGACCGTCCAAGCAGAAGACATCGTCTACGTGAGCCCATCCCCAGTCGTCAAAGATGGGGTTCTGCACATCACGTTCTTTGCGAGGAGCAGAGGGGGGGATTCAGGTGGGTGACAAAGGAAGCTGGATGGAAGAGGTTGTGGGCAGTGACTTCTATGTACCAGGCAGATAGCTCATTAAGAACGCCTCCAGTTGTCACTAGGTGCCACCTTCGAAAGCCCAAAGCACTCCTGCGCTGGATGAAGTCTCACCGAAAGACTAAGGCCGTTTTCCAATACTCAACTTTGTCTCCGTCTCAGGCTTCGTTCTCAAAACCAATCCCTGATTATGGGCCTGAAGCATTTAAATTACATGGGATTACTGTAATATTTGGTTTGATGTTCTGTGGCACTAATTAGACTGATTACTGCGCTTACAGCTTCAAAGTCAGCTAGTAAAAAAACAGTTGAAGCCTGAGATGGAGCTGAAGTTGCGTATTGGAAAACGGCCTAAACCTCAAACACAGCTGTTGGGCCAGGACTCTTACAGTTCATTCACACTCACTCGACTTATTTTTATTTACACCACAGATTGTCAAATGAAAAGTGTCTGTAATTGTTTTGTTAGCGCTGTATCCTGTGCAAAACCTTTGAAAATTATAAACAGGTATAGCACACCCTGCTGTATCCAATGAGGTGGCATCCCCCCCCATAAAAAATTGTGTCGCAGAGACCACATTTGTTTGTGAATGGCAATATGGGCATATGCTGTCCAATCAAAGATCATTGGTTGAGGGCTTTATGAATAATAAAAGACTTTGAGAAGCTTCTTGGAAAAAGAATGCTTTTAACAATCTGAAGTGGTCATATTGATGCAAATGGTTAGGATCAGGACATGTGATTTTCCAAAGCTCCATGTCTGAGCTTATATCTGGTATCCCTCATTTCTCTTTCAATTTTAAGAAAAAAAAACCTGCCAAATGTTCTAATGATATGCTAACATTTGGACAAGTGATGAAAATGGATATTCTAGTGTATGTACAAAAGCCGTTCATTGTTGCAGGTTAAATCCGCTTACATTTTGAAACTGCGGTGCAATGCATCGTGTAGCCAGTTGCACACTTTGGTTGCCATTCGTTTACATGGCCAAGTGCATATCCACCGATATAATACTGGCATGTAATTTGCTTTTCTTTAGGAGAAAGCGTGATAGATGGTAATCAAGTCGTGGGAATATTAAACACGGAATCTAACATGAATGAGATGAAGACAGCGGTAAGTTCTTCATTCAGTATCAGTATCCCAGTAACTTATCCCACTCTCGTTTTGTTGCTCTTACAAGTTGCACTGTAGGCCTACCTTGTTCGAGGGATAATTGGAACTTGCCCAAACCAACAATATTTCTAGTACTACTCTCAAAGTCCATTATTATGCCACAGTAATTAAAGTTTAAAAATGAGGTATACATGCACCCTGCCAGATTGGGGCGGGGGGGTATCTTAAGGCTCATATGCACCTGCTCTTGTACTTGAGTCACTGTCACAGCATAGTTTCGTCCAACATACCGGTAAAAGTTAGCTCAACTGGTAGTTCGTTGAGAATGTTTTTTTAAATCTGGCTAGGAAACAACCACCCGCGAATTTAACCTCTCGACTTCTTGACCTCCCAAGTGTCAAGTTGGCCCCTGGCCATGATTTGCCTTGTTGCCATGAGGTTGGGGACACTCTTCCTGAATGTTGAATGGGAGGGGGGGGGAGAGAACTGAGAATCGGCAGTTGAAGCCCAGGCAAGTACAGCATACTCTACATGTACCTTGAGTTCAAAGGTGAAGGGGTGACATTTCGCAAGGTCATAGATGGGATTTAGGGGGTCCTCTAAGAAAGTGAAAATGCTTAAAAAGTTTTCTACAATCTTTCAGGAAACTCTTTTGAAGGGAGTACACTTGCATGTGTACGCAACATGTGTGTGTGCCAGGAGAAACAGAAAACTGAATTGAATTAAGGTTGAAATGCTGCTAATCTGGTGGATGGTTGTGACTGTATGTGGTGGGCCCATCTTTAGATTAGATTTGACCTTTAACTGTTGCCTACTGATACATCAGTTCATAATTTTCAAATACTGAGGCACATTGATGATGTAGAACTGGCAGAAATCCCAGCCATAACTAATGGGCATAGTTACATGTACATGTGTGTTTCATTACCACTGATGTGGACTTACATGTATGTATATGCATATGTACTGTATTTACATGTGTGGTATCTAGGCCGCAATTTCACGAATACCCACTAATATCAGGCAAATATTCCTGTACATAATTTATGTACCAGTAAGTACAGTATTAGGTTGTCTGGGCTCCGAGGTTCATTAAATGAATTTGAACCCCGCCGTCTGTTGACCATTGACCTTTTAAAGTGAATTCCAGTAACTGTTTTAGGAGTTTGGCGAAAGTTACCATATTGTCCTGACAATAGCATTGACACCGCACCTGTCATTCAGATTTGAAGGTACATGTATGTGTACTTTTCCAATGATGTACATATACATAAATGTACATTCATATTACTGGGGTACCTGTGCACTCATTTACATGTATTTTCCACATGTGCTTGTGACTTGTGAACTACGTCATGCCCTGTCACAGTGTCACATTACTGTCTGTACTATTTTTGGGGTCATAATTTGGAAAAGTATGTTAAAAGTATTTTTTTTTAACCTCTTAGTCCCTTTGAATGTGTAGGCCTTTTCACATTGAATATGATAAGCCCATATTGAAGAATTATGATACATGAAACCACAGTTTGTCTGTGGACCGTAATCCTTTAGTCCTAGACTGTGGCAAAAAGAAACATTTGGATTCAACCCCACCCCCCGTCTGCCAGTACCCTTCACCCCCTCCACTTACCCTACCCCATGCTTTACCCTACTCTCAGCCCGCTCCTTACCCCACACCCATCACTCTGTGCAAAAGGAAGCCAGTGACCATGTCCTCCAAGTCTTCGCATTTGGAAATACGCTCGTTGACGTCATTTGGTGACGTCATTTGGTAACGGCGGCCATCACCCACACAAATCTGGAGTATCAGTGTCGCTTGTTAAATATTGCACAGGGGAAATGATCCAGGTAAAAGCTCCACCAGCCTCCCTGAGCTGTCCATTGTTTTAATCAGATGAATAAATCACTGTCTTCTTACCTGTAGTTCATTGCAAAAAAGATAAAGTAAAAAAAAAGGCCATCCTACACCCATCCAGTAATAAATTTTTTCCAGCACGGGAAAAATTGTGATTGACCTTTTCCAAGCCGAGTGTGGGTAGAGTGGATGCGATGAATTTATCGGAGTGTCAATTTTTTCTGAACATCTGGAAAAAAAGATTCATATTTGCCGGTCAGGGTGATGTACATGTATAAAAATTTCTGTACATCAAATCAGAATACTTTTTAATATGCATCTTGAGATTGAGTGAAATTTGTTGCAATTGCAAGACAAACCTGATGCTGTCTTGGTGCCTTTGCGTAAAGTTTTCATTCCAAAAGTACTGATTAGAAATCAAGTCACTTTTTAGGAATCACTTTCAGTATACGACTGTGACGCCTTCTCATTTTCTCCTCAATAGGATGTAGTGTGAAAAAACACCTTGAATACCAGAACTTGACACATGTACATGTGCATATCAACATGTCTTTACGTATACCTTTGCCCCTTAACTCAGACACATCTGGGCTTGGCTGATAAACTAGGCGAGGTTGCATTCCAGAAGTAATCCTGTTTTTTGACAACGCCCGTAACAATGGTTTAGGCCCTACTCCTATACAAAACAGGCAAACAAAAGGGTGGTTCAGGTTTGACCAAAGAGCATTGTGTGCATAGGCTGTAATGACCAATGATGTTGCTTCGAAACCATTGGCCAACCTGTTCGTTTCACGAGATCGTGATCAGTGATCCTAACGCTGGTTCACTCTATCCATGTGGCGGGTTCTGGTGTCAGTGAACCAACGTTAGATCACTGATTGTGATCCGGATCCGTGTGAAACAAACAGGCCCATTGTAATGTGAAATCTGAGAATTCCTGTGCATTCTTACTATTCTAAGAAAAAAATCTTCACATATTTACATTGTCTGAATGCTATGTGACCTGTACAGGGTAAATGAATAGTTAGCTAGTTCAGGTTACATACTTCCCGTCTGGACGGGTTAATCATCGTCTGCCCGGCCCACATCGGATCAAGTTATAATACCGGTAAAACGAAAATAAAAAGCACAAACAAGTGAGGAAATACGTGAAACAATAATTCTTAAAATTCACCACCCACTACATCTATGCTATTGTTATAGAGCAATCACCCCCAGCCAGATTCACGATGTCATGCTGTTACCGGTATCTCCCGGTCTCAAGGCTCTCCTTTTATCAGGGCACCGCCATCCTGAAATTGCAGTGCGCAAGGCTACCAGTGAATGGCGGTAGAGGTTTTGATACTGAGGGTTCCTGTGGTAAATGTCAGCCCACATGCAGAGATGGAGACAGTTGATACAGAGGATGGGAGTGCCCCGAAGGTTTCTTTTTTTTTTAGCGGAGAGTATTCCAATTGGGGCATATGCATGCACTGGCATGTAGCTGTGCACTGTATGTTGTGGAAATTTCAACTCTTCGGGGGAACATTGCATTGCTTCAATATTGGCTTGGGCGGCCTGATAGTGCGTCCAATTTACTCTCAAACATGAAAAATCTTGCCTGATTTTGACAAATCTGAGTTACATTCTGTACATATGCACAAAGAAGATCATTGAGGTTGTTCTACATCAGACATCAACATCTGGATGAAATGTTGAACACTCACTGATGAGATCAGTGAAGTTTTATTTAACTTAGGGTCCAGTAAAATCCCTGGCTTTGACATTTATTTGTGCTGTAAAATTTGTGGAAACAATCAAGGAAAGAGGATACATTTACGTGATGCCCTCCAGCAAGTGCTACTAGATTGAGGTCAGTCAGTTGGAAGTGTTCTTGACCTACATGAACATGTACCTGTTTTGAGAAAAAAAAATGAAACCAGAATGCTACATATGTGCCCAGTTTTATTCCAAAATAGTGTCCACGGAAGACAGGGGAGGGCCTTTTTAGGGGCTTTAGCACAATTGGATACTGGTATGTTGTGATGTTACCGGTATATGAGAAAACTTACAGGAGGGTAGATTTTGGTCCTTCCCACCTGCTATTTCAGTGGCTCGTGGCCCCCCCACAAATTCCCGGTGCCCCCCTCCCCAGGTGCCCCCCACTGAAAAAACGGAGGAATGGATATTGAACAAGGCTAACAAAAACATGCCCTCAAAAACCACACCACTGAAAGCTGGTGCCCCCCCCATNTCCCCAGGTGCCCCCCATTGAAACAACGGAGGAATGGATATTGAACAAGGCTAACAAAAACATGCCCTCAAAAACCACACCACTGAAAGCTGGTGTCCCCCCCCCATAAGATGCTGGTGTCCCTTTGTGGCCCCCCGCCAGTAAAATCCTAGCTACACCATTGCGCTGTTTCAAGGTTAAGATGTGATCTCAATCATTACCCTACAAATACATTCCCATGTAGATGTATGATCTATTTTCCCCCATCCTCTACAACTTACCGCCACCATATCGGTGCCACTGACGTCCTCTCCCCCCTCCTCTCCCCTTGATGACCCTCACCCTTCTGTAAGCTGTCCCCCCAACTGTCATTGTCAACACCAGAAACAGCTGTAATTTGCTTGACTTGTAACGCTCTTGGAATTGGGTTCAGTCACAGCCTCCACACCTCTCCCCTTGTTGACACATCTCTGGAGTATTTTGTTCACAGGAATACTTAAGTTTTTGGCACGTGTCCATTAAGGGACCACTGGTGTACATGTAAATAAAAACAGTGGGAACTTTTTGATGACAGAAGCTGAATTTTAGTCGTCTTCCACTGTCTTAGAGTTCAACAACCTTGCAAGCAAAACCTGGCCTCCTTAATTTGGGGAATTTTTTTTCAGGGGGAGGGGGAAGGTGTCTACCAGTAGTCTTCACGCGAAAGAGTTCAATGTACAGTCGAACCTCATTAATTAATAAGAGCACTGTTACCACAAGATTCTGCTTCACAAGAAATATGTTCAGTCCCAATCTTGTGCTTACCATAGTTTTCATTCCTGATAATACAAGGTTCCTGTTATCCATGTAACAAGGTAATTTGCCAAGTCCAAAGGACCTCTTATTAGCGAGGTTCAACTGTATTACACTTAGGCAGCCAAAGATTTGTACAGT